GGGGGTATACAGGGGTTCGTTCGTGCACAACAACGGCTACAGCGCGGTGTTACAGGAGGTTATGTGGTTGGGTGTTTGGTGCGTTACCGGGACGGGAGGGTGGTGCTTTATTTCTGCGTAGAGCGCCTCACTTTTCTTTCTGATGCGGGCGTGCAAAATGTTAGCGGTTGCCGATTTTCCGATTGATTACGCAGAGGGGATGATGTTGCGTTCTCTCTGGATTCTCGGCAGTTGCAGCCCGAGCAATTGCCCTTGGCCTATAAAGTCGAGCTGGGGTTGGTTTCAGTCATCGAAGGTGGATCATGTTCGGGAGGGCACGTGCACACGGATGCGTGTGCGGCAAGAGCCTGGTCGTGCTGTCGAGTGCCAGAAGCAAAGCAGATGGCATGATGATGAAATCTTGTCTTATTCTCGTTATGTTCCTTACCTCGCCACGATGATAGTCGCCTTTGAGGCCGGTGGTGGCAGGTGGATGTGGACCAAGCACCAAGCAAGCGGTGACAGCTTTGCGGCAAGCTCTCTCGTTGGCGGGTACACTCTGCATTACCTTCGAATCGGGGACGCTTTATAATCGGCAGCGGTTTGGTAGCCGCCGTAGGCTGAGCGGAGGGAGGAACTTAGGCCGGGGAGAAGGGGTTGGCGATACCATGGCAGAAACGCCGCGTTGGATGTCGAGTATTCTGTAGCGTCCGACGGCAGTTTATTTAGGCAGGCCTGGGTTAAGGCCCCAAACATGGGTATGAATTCAAGGCCGCCGAATGTGGCAGGGGATAGCCAGAGGTGGTTCGAAAGACCGTTTTGAGATGACGTGCGTGTGGTCGATGTGGAATTGAGACCAATACGGGGGAGGAGAGGGGGGCGTGCTCTTGTGTTTCGCATGCCTTAGCGGTTAGACCATTGAACACGCGTCCTCGAGAGGACTGAGCATTGTTCCCACACGACCGATCCTCGACGGCCAATCGTTTCTTCCTACTTTTCCAAAGGTGGCTCAAAAATGTGTTCCCTAGTCTATCTACCCTATGGGTTGTTTTGTTGTTGTTTCTCACATTAGCTCTAAAAAAAAAAAGATTGGGAGCCCGTGGTCTCAAAACCCGGCATACACGACCCCACGAAGAAACAGAAAAAAAATAGGGTACAAAAACCACTCGGAAGAGAAACAAAATGATAGAAAGAAAGACCAGCTACCGCACCAAACGAGAAAGAGCGTCGAGGAGACCGATCAAAATAAAATAAAAGGAGAACGGG